AACCATTTAAATGATTTCTGGGAAACATAAGGCATATATATAACATATATATAACCAAAAGCCCACTCACTGGTATGTAGCCGGGTCGTAACCCCCAAGTCTCGCCTGACTACGCTCGTCCTCTGGAAATGTCTCACCTATATGTGAAACAACTAATTTAACTTTATTTGAAAGCACATAACTATCACTATGAAATAACTTCTCATACATTGCTTAATTGGGGTGTTTGAATATACCATTGTGGCATACTCAAAACCATGTTTTTAGAATAATTTTTCGATGTTCCACGCGCCGGCCAAGGCAAGACCACACGCGCAGCCACGTGCCTGACACGTTGGATGGAATCTTTAAAGCCGTTAAAGAATATTCCGTTAAATAATGGAATATACCGCTAAATATACCTGATGCCGTTAGCTATATTCCGTCAAACTTGACGGAATATTCGCCTTCTTCCCCGGTAGTTCGCCGGATTCCATCGCCGGCCGCTGACTGTGTCACCGGAAACTGGAAAAGATTAAAACCTTAACATCTTCATCATTTCTCAACCAAATTTCATGAAAGTTATATGGATTTAAAACTCTCAACAAGGGGAACACATCCATACCTGTTAAAACTCCATAATCCAACAGAAAATGGCTAGAAAAATCCTTGAAAAACCGATTATTCTGCATACCCACTACCGAGCTTATTTCGACATCCAAACTTAACCAAAACTAGTCTAATGTGCCAAGGAAGTTGAGTAATTACCTTACTAAACCTCAAAACTAACTAAAACGTTCACAATCACGTCGGAGAAAATTCCACCCCTTGCCGGAGCTCGGGTATCTCGAGTTCTACCAGTCCTTTCCTCAAACCAAGGGTATGACTCAACTGGTGAGGTCAAAAGAAGCACGATGATGCTAACCTTACACTCGATCTGTGAAGTTTTGAAAAGATTTTGGGAGTTGTGAGCTCAGGTTGTATGGAAAGAGAGAGTTCGAGAACAAGAGAGTGTGTGAAGGAAGAAGGGCACGTGCGGTGTATGTGTGTGTGACCTTGTTCGGATTGGGCAATTTTAAGTTGCCATAATTTCTATTGGGCTACAACTTAGGGCCACCAATTTGGTCCTAAACAACCCTACAATTTTAATTGGATCCCTAGAGATAGGAAAATAAGGTAATTGGTCCATTGTCTTGGCCTTTTTTCTATTTTCTTAGTCTGCTTATATAATCACCACACATCGTTTCAAGGGCAAAATCGTCATTCCAACACTTTCGAAGATAAAATATATTATAATTCGGGATGGGTCGTCACAGTTTACACGTTCTTCTTTTCCAAATTAAATTTAATTTTAGAAGAAAAACATATATTAATACTAGCACTCTAAAAAACTCATTGTGTACTTTGAATATTTTATATTTAGAAAGAAAAATACACTTACGATGAGTGCATAATAAGTTTATTAAAGTGCCAATAAAAATACCCAAAAATAATCCAACTGACGATATAATGGGAAAAGAGCATCAAAATGAGAAGTTTTGTTTTGTTTATTTTCCCAGCAAATCAAACTCTTGAAGTGTTTTTGTATAAAAAAAACAAAGGCTAACTAGTTTTCACACCCCTTAGATTTGCGTACTTTTCACAATGAGTAATGAAGTTTCAATTTTTCATCATAACTATAAGGTATCGAAATTGTATCAGTTTATATTTTTGATCGTATTGATTGTTTGGTCCTTCAATAAATAATTGGCATGATAAGCATGAGATCTTATGTGGATTAGCATGTAAGCCACATTTGGATCATATTATAGCTAAAATGCTTGAACAAATAAAAAAATATAAACTGATACGATTTTAAAAAATTTAGGCTGCAATGGGAAGACAAAAAAATATAATTAATCCTAAAAATTGGAAAACAAAAAACAAAGCACTTTCTTTTGGACCGATCCACTGAGTCATGGGCCAGGTGGTTGGCAGTCAATAGAAAGTATAGTAATCCAAGTGGCACAGTCACTCACACAAGCACTGAAGCCCAACTTAATTATTTTATTGCATTGGCCTGTTGGTGATTTGTAGAGCCGATTCTTCATAATCTGGCCCGCAAATCTCAAATAATTTTAAGGGACGTTTTGATATAGACGTTTCATTTTTTAATGTTATAAACTAAACATCTATTCATTTTGCAAGTTTGATTAAACATTTTCCCTACAATTTTGATACTTTAATTTAATTTCCTTTTATTTTATTAGAAGTGTATTCACGTTAGCATTCCCTTTTTTCCTCCTATTTTTATGCATCTCTTATTATGATGATTTAAGATTTTTTTATTAAAATATTTATTTTGGTAAATTAAATAGAATGTAACAAAATTCGTTTTTAGGCACGTTAGGTTATATCGGTACGTTTGATTATAATGGTACATTTAGTTACTTGGTACATTTGAATTTTTGGTCCATTTAGCTTCTTGGTACATTTGAATTTTTGGTACGTTTGTTTTCAAAACATAAGTTTTATTACTTTGTCCTAATAACAAGGAATTACTTTAATTAATTTTTTTATTTTATAGAAAATGTGACATCCCACATCGCCCAGGGGAGTGATCCTTATATGTATATTCCCATCTCTACCTAGCACGAGGCCTTTTGGGAGCTCACTGGCTTCGGGTTCCGTAGGAACTCCGAAGTTAAGCGAGAAGCGCGCGAGAGCATTCCCAGGATGGGTGACCCACTGGGAAGTTGCTCGTGAGTTCCCAAAAACAAAACCCTGAGGGAATGGTAAGCCCAAAACGGACAATATCGTGCTACGGTGGTGGAGTGGGCTCGGGAAGTGATCCGTCCCGGGCCGGGATGTGACAGAAAAAGTCATTAATCAACAGACAATAGCCTTTTTGTTAATTCAAAATTATATGATTTATTGTTATTATTTAGCATTTGTTGATAAGGATTTATCTCCGATCAACTAAAAGTTGTTCTAGAGACTTGTCTACTAAAAAACAAGACTATTTGGAGCATTGTGTATGAATCAAACATATTTTTAAATATTCCAAAAAGATGAATATTCATTTTAATATAGTTTATAATTGGGTACGTTTTAATTCAGAGTTGGTACGTTTTCGTTTGACTTTGATACGTTTTCATTTAATGTTGGTACATTTCCATTTGGCATGGGTGTACATTTAGATTTGAAAAGTTTAAATTTTTAGACTTAAATATAGTTGAAATTATTTAAAATATATAACAGATATTTAAATGTAAATTAATTTCAATTAATCTGAAGTAGTTCAAGTCTGAGTATCTTAATCAAATGTTTCAAAAGCTTAATAAAAAACTCAAAAAGCATAAATGTTTAGTCTACAAAAGTCTAAAATGAGGAATCTAATTCTAATTTTCTCTAATTTTAATTTAAGATGTAAATATTTCAGTGACCTAATGTTGATCTTTTCATAATCCAAACCAAGATTGGTGGTGGTTCAAATAATGAATTTTCAATCACAAATCTAACATTTTGTAGCGTATTTCTAACTAATTTAATTTAAAGGATAATGTTTGTGTTTTTTTGTTGTGGAGGCTTACTTGTCTTCTCATTTACGAATTACGATTAACGAATTTTTACCGTCTAAACATTATAACTAGAACTGTTCATTATCTCTAGCATTACTTTAAGATTATATATGGAAGAAATTATTCAATTTGGAGATCTTTCAGCCATTCATATGCATAAAACAGATGGACAGCTCATCATAAGGATGCTATTTGTTACTAAATCTGTTGACTAGTTTAACGCACATGGATGATTACACGATTTCGAAGCTGAATGATTTTTTACAAATATGACCCTCAGATGTTGACAAAGAGAATGAACGATTCTGATTACGATGTTCAGACGATAAAGTCCTTAATTGCAAGTAGGGAAGGAAGTCGCTCATGAGCGGGTCACAAGCATTATCCTAATTGAAATTACTTGATAACTGAAAATCCTTCAACCAAACGTAACATTAAAGTACAATTGCTTGTTCACTGCCCCAACATTATGACTGGATCTGAGACTAAGTCCTACCTGGTCCTACAGGTTGTGTCTGGGGTGAGAGATTTCTAGGTAAGTCAAGAAGAAATGTATTACAAAATGCAGAGAGATTGTATTAGAAACCCTCGGCACGAGCATTGCAAAGGTATGTGGACGAAATTTACAAATCTCTATTTAGAAGAAATCATTTACAAATTTGTCTCACATGCCTTTGTAATACTAATGAAAGTCATTTCTTATCCTCTTAATATTTTCCGTACTAACTTGGTTTCAGTCTCATGAAATTTAGAAAGTCTCTCACTCCAAACATAGCCATAAAACTCCCAACGGGGTAGCATCTCGCTTTTGGAACCAAAAGAACAAATGTGGAAAACTAACAAGTGTTATATGCCTCTAAAAGCATTGAACAGTTCACTTGGCCTCGAAAACTAGGAAAAATAATTTCCACCCTCCCTTCCTCCACTTGATGCTCCTCTTTTGTTCGAATAGCAGAGGATCTAGGAACAAAACGCTACTCTTTTGTTCGAACAAAGGAAGATCCAGGAACAAACAAAGAGGAACGCAGAAGGAGCACAATACTAAAACCCCACGGAGATACTCAGAGAGTGCCAAGCTAACGAGAATTGCTCCAACATAGTGAATCTTCTTCACGGAAGTCTTGTTCGACTGATTTAGGTAAGCACTAATATGACTGCCAGGGGAGCCCGATCTTCGTTTCTTTCGGAACCCCTTCCCCGCCACCTTCCGACCCACGGGAGTATACAATGGAGCAAACGAGAGTGCGGAAAACATTTCCTAAGAACACACAAAGAGGAACGTAGAAGGAGCAAACTTGAGTGCCGAAAACATTTCCCTAAAATCGTCAATCTTTGGTTTAAGAAGTGTCAAACTCTTTATTCCACACTTCAACCATGCCTTAAACACAAAGGACTCCAACACCAACCCGGGTAAAATAAAACAAACTTGTTTCTGCTGCATAAATATGTAGTCAAAGAAAATTAGTGAAAGCAAAGCGAGAGCTTTCAATTTTATCACATCTTTTATTTAGAAACAATCATTGTTGTCAATCCGTACAAAAAGGGCACATTCTTAGTGATAACACAAGTTTTAACAACCGTCTTTGGCCCGAATTCACCGCAGAATCCACTCTACCAAAATTCTGACAATCTAAAAAAACTACATATTACACAGTCATGCCTTGTGGGGCAGCGGCCGCAGCCGACTTGGGCTTAGCCTTTTCCACCACAATGGCCTGAGTGGTCAAGACCATTCCGGCAACCGAGGCTGCGTTCTGCAAAGCACATCTTGTTACCTTTGCTGGGTCGATAACACCGGCATCCACCAAGTTCTCGTACTTGTCTGTCATTGCATTGTAACCAACCTCCCATTCACTATCCCTTATTTTCTCCACCACCACTTCGCCTTCAACTCCTGCGTTTTGAGCTATCAATGCTGCTGGTGCTACAAGTGCCTGCAAGCAGCACATAGATTGAGGTCTTTCTGAAATAACTCCGGTGAGAAGAAAAAAGGCATTAAGAGACCCTCATGGCCCAACCCTAGACACTCTAAGATCCATTTTCAGATTTAAATAACATGGAGAGATACGTATTTGTGCAAAATACTTTTTACGACCTCCCTTGCTGTTCGGAACATTCAGAAAATATTCAAATCAGCCGGAGGGTACCAAATTACGTGCACAGTAGTCTTAAAAAGAGAATTATCATGGAATATAGAAATGAGGTATTATTGTTACCTTCTGGACAATGTCAGCACCTAGCTGCTCATCTGCATCGAGAAGTTTTTCCTTGATGGCAGGAACATATGCTGAGAGATGCACCAAAGCAGCACCACCACCAGGGACAATCCCTTCCTCTATGGCAGCAAAAGTAGCATTCTTGGCATCCTCAATACGGAGCTTACGGTCCTCAAGTTCAGTCTCTGTAGCAGCACCGACCTTTATAACAGCAACCCCACCTGATAATTTGGCAATCCTCTCAGCCAGTTTTTCTGAATCATAAACAGAATCTGTCTCAGACAACTCTTTCTTCAGCTGTGCAATTCTGGCCTGCAACTCATCTTTTGATGCTGCATCAGCAATAATGGTAGTTGAGTCCTTTGAGATTGTCACCTTTCGGGCCAAACCAAGCTGCTCAACTGAGGTGTTCTCAACCAGTAGACTCAGATCACTGGCTTGAAACTCAGCTCCTGAATATATCAAGAAGAAGCCAAATGAGTACCATATCCATGTAAAGTTTGATCACTATTTATTGCACCACTAGATAATAATCATAATATCTAACATATGTAACAAACTAACCAAGCATTATGCTCCACTAAATATGAAGTTAAAGAAGAAGATACAAGATAACTAATTGAACATGAGATATCAAATTTGACTTGTGTTCTTGAAATATAATCTGATAAACTAAGCCATATATTTACCTGTCAAAATCGCAATATCTTGGAGGAGAGCCTTTCTCCGTTCACCAAAACCGGGAGCTTTGATAGCGGCAACATTCAGTATACCCCTCAACTTGTTCACAACAAGAGTCGCCAAAGCCTCCCCAGAGACATCCTCAGCAATTATAAGCAGAGGGGTTCTCAACTGAGTGGTCTTCTCCAACAATGGAATTATGTCCTTGATAGCTGAAATCTTCTGGTCAGTAACCAAAACTCTTGCATTCTCAAATTCAACAACCAATTTCTCAGGGTTTGTAACAAATTGAGGGGAGATATATCCTCTGTCAATCTGTAACCGAAGACAACAAACATCAAGAGATGAAAATCATAAAATACAGAACAGGAAGGAAAAGTTGAACTGCCACTAAAACCAGAGAAAGAAAACACACCTCCATTCCTTCTTCTACCTCGACGGTAGTCTCAAATGAGGAGGATGACTCAATCGACAGGACACCATCAGGTCCAACCTTGTCAATAGCATCAGCAATCATTGTCCCAATTTGCTCATCATTTCCAGCAGAAATAGTTGCGACAGCTGTAAGAAACACAATGATCAATATAAGAATGTGGGGCTTTCAGTAAATTACTTAACAAAATAACCCTACACTCATCAAGCCACAGTACCCTTAACGTCATCACGACCCTTAACAGGCCTAGACTTATTCTCTAGCTCCTCCACCAGCCCTTGTACCGTTTTCTCAATACCCTTCTTTATCGAAACAGGATTTGCACCAGAGGTCACACTCAAGAGCCCTAGCTTGATTATCTCCCGTGCAAGAATTGATGCAGTTGTTGTTCCATCACCAGCAGAGTCATTGGTCTTGCTAGCAACCTAAATCCCACAGTTGAAACATGGTAAACCAATTATTAAAATGTAAATTGGGAAATTTGCGATAGTACAGTACTACTTCGAGGAAATTACTATAAACATAACTGTCAAACCTCTCTAATTAGGGCTGCACCAGCATTTTCCATCGCATCAGGTAACTCAATAGCTCTAGCAATAGTGACTCCATCATTGACAACTTTAGGACTACCATACTCATCCAATACAACATTCCTCCCTTCAAAATACAAAACGCAAATCAATATCAAGAACAGCTCCCTTTCAAAGAGCATACCATGAAAAGAAACCTCTCCATACTAAAAACCATTGAAACAAATTAAAGCGGAGTGTTTTTTCTTTTTTTATTTGGTTACCAACGCACACCAAAGAAATATGCAAGATAAGGAAAGAAGATACCCCTAGGACCAAGAGTAAGGCCAACAGCGTCCGCAAGCTTATCAATTCCAGCCTGTAGCGCACGCCTTGAATGCTGGTCAAAAGCAATTTCCTTTGCAGAGGACTTCACAACAAAGCGACCCCTTGATTGCCTGTAATTCACCCTATTGTTTTGCTGCTGATTCACCCCCCTTCTCAAACTCTGCTAACACCATCAAATCACACCATAGAAATGAAATTACGAAACTAACCAAAGCGAAGGAAACCGAAACAGATTAAACATAATAATCCTCAAATGCAATTAACAAGCAACCAAAAAACACAGAAATCAAAAACCCCAGATTATTAAACTCTGCATTTTCCATCCTTTCCAACGAGAACCAATTACCAATCACAATACTATCCACTAATTCAAGCCTATAGCTACCAGTAATTCACACCATCAACGAAATTGTGAAAATTGAACCAACCAAACAAAACCCAGGCAGATCAAAGCAAATAAACCTCAAATTATCCCAAAATGCAACCCAAAAACACAGTCAAACCAACCCACAGAGCTTAAACCACGTTTGGCTGACAGAAAATGAGTAACCAAAATATGAAGCACCCAAAACGCAAAATTTCAAACACTTCTGCAATAGCAGGCAAGCCAAGGAGCCAGTGCGTACCTGTTTGGGAGAGCAGAGGACGGAAGCAGAAGTAAGAGCGTTGGCCGACGCCATTGTCAGAGCTTCAAAGGTCGCAGCTTTCGTGAGGGAGTAGGAAGAGTGTGAGTGTGGATAAGAGGCTCTCGCAGCTTTTACTTTACTAGGGTTTTGCCGTTTGGGGTGTTATTATTGTTGGGCGACAGAACCGACGACGTTCCAGAACTTTCTCCTACTTCCAGAAACACCACCCCTTGTTGAAGCCTCTTTTGATTTGAGGCCGGATGCTACCGTGCGCCATGAGTTATGCTTTTTAGTTTTTTCTATATTTTTAATTGGGCTTATGTTTTGGGCCCGTCTTCAAATCTCCCCTTCGTAGTTAAATGTAAATAGAGGCACGGGCCTTGAGCCGCACGGTGATTTTTATTTTTTATTTTTTAACAAACGATATTATTTATTTTAAGATTATTTTCATTTCGAGATAAAACTTAAAATATATATTTTAAAACCCTTTCAAACCATCTTCTACCAATGTATTAAAATGATATCTGGGATAAAATATATTTTGGACTGGATTACCCTTAGAATTTAAGTCTGATTAAAATTATTCTGGAGTTACCAAACTGTCATATTTCAATTATTTTTTTGTTTTTCACTTATTATCTAACAACTGTGATCAAATGAGATCAAATCTGATAGTAAAAAAAATTTGATTGCCCAAAATTAAATCTGACATCTAAAATAATGTTAGAAAATTATTTAAATCAAATTTCATGTAAACCTTTATAAATACATATGCATTTGCTTGATTTTTAATTACTTATCGGAATTTAATTTTTTTAATTAAAATATTCATAAAAATAAATTAGAATAACCTACATAAATTTTATTTTATAAAAAATAGTTACCAAAAAAACAAAAATTAGACTAAACTCATTATTTAATAATCTCAGTTAAAATTTTAACACATAAAGGTTGGAGAAAAAAATAAATTTCTAAATTTTTAAGCTTTATTCCCAATAATCGAAGATGGTCTAAAAATAAGGGTAAACTTGTAGACGATAATCAAACTTAAACGGTGAATAAGAAATTGAGAATCCCACTAAAACCCCCAAACAGTCCAACCAATCAGACCTTTCTCTCTCTCTCTCCCCTCCTCTTCCCTCGCCAGCTCTTTCTCCCAGCCAAACAAGCAAAACCCCCAAAGCTCCTCAGGTTTTCTGTTTCCCCATGGCTTCCCACCATCCTCCACCACCCCTCTCACTTTCTTCTCCCACCACTCTTCCTTCTCACCCTCTAACCACACTTCCCTATCCCCACCGTACATTTCCCGAATCGCCACCTTCAACCGATCGCAACCGCCAATTGGACCGCTACATTGCAATCCGTCAGTCGATTTCTCCGCTTGGAGGGTGAAGACGGCCGGTATGAGCAGAGAGCATCTCCAAATTCTCTCTGTTAGGGTTTTCTCTTTGCTCGTTTTCTCCAGCTTCTTCTTCAGCTCGCCTCTGCCCCGAGCGGCGGGGCAGGATTCCGAAGGCCGCGATGGTGGCGGCAGAGTGTATGACCTCGCCACCGAGCTCGTCTTGAGCCGCTACTCCAATCTCACCCATGTCTTCCGTGATGAACTCCTCAAAAAGTTTGGCTTCTGCATCATCGACGTGTGGGTTTGCTTCTATCACTTTGTCTGTGTTTTTCTCTTTTTATTTATATTTATATTTTATTTTAAATTACAAGCAATATTACTATTCGAAGCTATACTATGGGGATGAGAGGGTTTGAACCTGGTCGCAGCAGGAACCTCATCAACCAGGGCAATCCACCACTTTGCATTTTTTTTTTATTATTTTGATTTGGTTATGTGAAAAATTACTTTCTTTTGTACTCCAGAGACGAGGATTTGAATGGGGCTTTCAATTTCTCACAAGATTCAAGCTTCATTACCAACTGTGCTAAAAAAATGGCAGGTACATACAACCTTAGTTATTACCAATGTCTTCAATTTTTAATTTCGTTGTAATAAATGTTACGAATGGTAGGGTGAGAAGACTTGAATGAAATTTCTGCAGCGAAGTGGGATCGAGAAAGCACGAAACTTGAATGAAATTCCATTTTGTAATTGCAGAACAAAGTGTGAGTTCGCCAGAGTGAACTTAGATATAGAGTTTAGGAGGCAATGGGGATATGGTTTTTCTGTTTTCTTGCAAAACTTTAAGGACAGGTTCGGTGTGAAAAGCAGTGGAAATATTACCATATTAATGATAAATTCTAGAAAGTTTTTCATTCTAGTTGAAAAGAAGATCAATTAGATTTGTACTCAGATTTTTACTTCCGTGTTAAACAATAACTTGGTATTAAACATAAATTGTGCTGTGTAAAGCATACTGACACTGACACACTGTTATGCAATCTCCTCTTTCTTGATAATTATATGACCGATTCAATCAGTTTCATTTATCATTTCTGATGATGTTTGTAGGTGGAACGATTGGGGAGGTTTTGGGTCGATTGTGCACAGCCGCAGAAATGCGGATCTACGCTGGTGGTATATTGCAAACCAAGAAGACCACATACTTAAAACCGAACAAGAACTGTAATCTGTCAGCATGGATTTCTGGATGTGAGCCTGGGTGGGCTTGTGCTTCTGCGGAGCAAGTTGAACTGAAAAATCGAACTTATGTGCCTGCCAGAACTGTCGAGTGTCAACCTTGTTGTGAGGGTTTCTTCTGCCCGCAAGGTCTTACTTGCATGCTCCGTGAGTATTTCAAACCTGTTAAATGACTATGTTTTCAAAATAACTAGTGTTTAATACTTGTTAATGCAGTTCTTGACATCTTTGTTTGTTCGTATGTGTTATCTATCTTCTTCCATTGAATTTTATCTATGTTCATGTTAGGCCTGAAACATTGTTTAGTGTTCCATGACTTAATTTTCGTTATTAACTTTTCTCATCTGTATCAATGAAGCTTGCCCAAAGGGTGCTTACTGCCCACTTGGAAAACTCAATAACGGATCTGGGATATGTGAGCCGTAAGTTCATATTCTTTTTGTAACTTTTGTTTTTCACTTCTGAATTCTTTCTACTTTTTGATTTTCCTTATGCTTAGCATACATTAATATTTATCGGCAGAAATATTCCACAGATACAGCTATCAGCTACCTCCTGGGAAGCAAAACCATACTTGTGGAGGAGCAGCTAAGTGGGCTGATGTCGTTAGCAGTAGAGAGGTATTCTGTACCGGTGGATCATATTGTCCGTCAACCATCCGAAAAATCCCTTGCAGTAGTGGGTATAATTATCCCAGAACTTCTAGCACTTGTCCTTACACTAAATAGAGAATGCATCAGTTGCTCACTTTGTTTATACTTACGTGACAATTTCTGCCCATTGCAGACACTTTTGCAGGCAAGGTTCCACAACTGAGGAAGGTAAGCTTCTCTTTTCATGCATGGAATAGAATCACAAATACCAAAATCTCATTTTGTTTCATTAGTTACCAAAAATTGGAAAAACTAAATTAGCAAGGGGACATTTCAGCAACAGCGACCTGCATTTTAGTCCTAAATTTGATAGGAATTATAGGACACATGAATCTTGAAAGAATAACTGCCAATTACTCCTTTTGAGAAGGAAAAAAATGGCTAGTTATACGGTATGGAAGAAGGGAACAATTCCATAGTAGGTGTGCGACTTGTTCATCTGTGAAGGAAGACATAATTTCTAATATTAGCATTTGAAATTCAAATCTTAGAAAATGGTAGAAAAAAATATGCATCTAAAATCAACATGAAACTCATGTCAGAGCAAATATTTCCAGGGCTGGTTCGGTTCAGGATACTAAACCGAAAACTGAACTGAAAATTTTCGAGATAGGATTTTGAATACCTAAACCGAACCAAAGTTTTGGTTTTCCCAAAATTCTCTATACTGAAAGTATTTCGTTTTTTTTGGTTCGGGATTGGTAATGGGCCGTTGGCACATACACAATTCTTTACACAATTTAGGATACTAACAAACTACTAGCAAACTGCTTAAATATAATGTTCATTAGCATCATTACTATCTCTATACTAGCAAACTACTTAAATCAAATTACATGCAACCAAATCCAAATGCAACAAATTAAGTTACAATTCCAATTCAAACTAGATACCTATTCCAATAAAAATTCCAATTCAAAATACCTCAATTCCAATCCAATTCAAAATATCACAATTCAAATTCCAAATTCCAATTCACTAACCATGCAGACTTGCTTGTTCCTAATTAAGTAGATCAAGATTTCAATTCTTGTAATTCAAGGGCCCTGATTGAAGTACACACAGAGACATTAGATTACAATTTAGAACCAACCTCCTGTCTGTAATCTGTAATCTGCATACATACAAATTCCAATCCTTAATTTCGAAATCCTAGTCCCCACTTTCAGAATCCAATTCCAATTCCAGTTCAAAGTAGACAATCCCTAATTTCGAAATCACGACCCCTAAATTTAATACAAATCAGAAACCGTAATCTTGAATTCAAATCAAAGTTGAGAAATGAAATGATTCAGGAAGGTCGCAGTTTCTTACCTTCAGGTTTGTGCAGTGCAGAGAAAATCGAAAGAGAGTCTGAGAGAAGTATCTAGCTGGAGAGAGAAAGAGAGTCGGTGTGGTCACTGGTCACTGTGGTGTGGTGTGGCCAAATTCAAGGACGGAGAATAGAGAGGAGGAGAGAGATTGACAGAATCAGAGATGAAAGGGCGGAGGAGTTGAGACTTGAGAGTAGAGTGAGGTGAGGTCGAGAGAGGGGTTGATTTGGATTCCGTACAGTATTTAAAATTAAAATTATATTATGTTTTATTGGTTCGGCACAGTATTACCGAACAAATCAACATTTCATACTGATTCCCGCACCGAATTTTAGGGTTTCGGTTCGGTCTATTTTTGCTTTGGTTCCTTCTACTGTAATGAATAAAGATCTTTATGAAAATTAGTATCACAATTTTACAATTTGTGTGGGAAATTTTGAAAGGAGTTTTCTGTGGGGGCGCTAGTTAATGGTGATAATTTTGACAAGGTAATTATATTGGACCTAATCCTCAAAAACTTAATCTTCCGAGTTGTTGTCGGAGATACCAATTATGTCTATGTCAAAAAGAGGGTCAACACTAGGGTAGAGTGGTTGCTCCACGAAAGACAAGAACCAAGGGTTGGAAGGGTGTGAGATGACATGAGAAGGGAATGTTTGAGGAATTTGAGTGAAAAATTGTATGGGGAGTGGAGTCCAAGAAAGTTGAGCTTGGGAACATACGGACGTGGGTTGTGAGGTTGAGAGATATGAAAATCCTTGTAATTGTTTGATCACTAGTGGATTTTCAAACTACTCTCAGATAGGCAAGTTTGGCAAGCTGCATAATTTTGGTATCACCTCTCTCGGTATAGTTATTACCTGGATACAACTGCTTGGTTTGCCTGATTTTGTTAAGAGTTAACACAATGCCAGTTTGGAGTAGTATTCTGAACCTTCACAAGAAAATTTACAAGTAACTGGAGACGTTTTTGTAGGTTAATATTATATGATTTTCTTTGCTTCAATTAACATCCTGTTAGATGCCAGATAATGCTTTTTTTTTTTTTTTTTTTTTTTTCCTACAATAGTCTTTTGCTTTTGTGCTTCAAGTCTAGTTGTTTATCGATCCTTTTGAATCTAGTGATAATATCCATTGTTGTTTAACTTGCAGATTGTTTCCGGATGGCGACTTGTAAGTCGCATTCAGAAAATCAAAATATAACTGCATATGGTATCATGATTTTTGTGAGTGGTCTTACTCCTTTAAAATTAAAATGGTAAATGTAAGCTTGTGGAATGACCTATTCATGGAGTGCTTACATTCTTAGCACCCTTCTATAATATGTGTCAAACACAATATTTTCCAAAGAGTTAACAGCTTGTCTCATATGTTTTTCACAATGTTTTTTAGAACATCTGTACTGATGAACCTTCACTGTGAATGCAGGCAGGATTAATTTTCATCTTTCTCGTTATATATAATTTTTCTGACCAAGTTCTTGCCACCCGAGAAAAAAGACAAGCAAAATCCAGGGAAAGAGCAGTTGAAAGTGTAAGAGAAAATGCACAAGTGCGTGAAAAATGGAAATCTGCAAAAGACATTGCTAAGAAGCATGCAGTTGGACTGTCAACACAGTTTTCACGTACATTTTCTCGCAGAAAATCCACCAAGTCAGACCCGCTGAGAGGATTTGGACAGGCTAAACCTGGATCAGATGCTGCCTTGCCATCTATGCCAACCGAGATAGGTGAGCAATCAGCTGGAACATCTAAAGGAAAGGAAAAGGAAAAAAGAAACCTCACACAAATGATAAAAGCAATTGAGGAAGACCCAAATAGTCATGAAGGCTTCAATCTAGAAATAGGAGATAAAAACATTAAAAAGCAAGCACCCAAAGCACCGAAAGGTAAGCAGTTGCATACTCAGAGTCAAATATTCAAGTATGCATATGGTCAAATTGAGAAGGAAAAGGCATTACAGGAGCAGAATGCGAACTTAACCTTCTCCGGGGTCATACAAATGGCTGGTGATCTTGAAATCAGGAAGAGACCTCCAATTGAGGTTGTTTTTAAAGATCTAACTCTCACGTTGAAAGGGAAAAACAAACATCTTTTGAGGTGTGTGACTGGGAAAATATCGCCTGGCCGGGTTTCAGCTGTCATGGGTCCATCTGGGGCTGGAAAAACAACATTTCTTTCTGCCTTGGTTGGAAAATTGAGGGGGTGCACAGTGAGTGGTATGATACTTGTAAATGGAAAGATGGAAGCTATCCACTGTTACAAGAAAATCATTGGCTTTGTGCCACAAGATGATATTGTGCATGGAAATTTGACAGTTGAAGAGAATCTCTGGTTTAGCGCAAGATGCAGGTATGCAACCACTTTGTATAGTTGCTGGTAGTTTTGTATGCGTGGTTGGTTCATTCTCTAACAGCTTAAACTTTGGGTCTGATGGTTTTCTAACATGATATTGGTTGCAAGAGGTCTTTGGGTTTGGAATCGCCCATTCCTAGTCACCTCTTATTTGTTAATCTGATGATGCAGGGTGGTTTTCTAACATTGATATTTAAAGTGCAATGCTTCCAAAACGATCTTGTGAAAATATATTACTTACTAGCATGTACACGTTTAGCATCTATTGGTTTGGTTTGGTTTGGTTTTAATTACTTCATTAAGCCCTAAGATTCATGACTTCAATCTCTGGAAGCAACAATCAATGTATCTCTGGAAGCAACATACAATCAATTGCTTTAAGAATAATAGAATTCTAATAATCTTGGAAGTCGCACTTGGTGTTCTAGGAGTGGTCCGTCGAAAAAGAAAGTGACATTTATATGATTCATAATTGTTCTGTGAATTTGTGAATACACGTCCACGTCCTACCAAATATTGATGTTGAGTCAACTACTAGCTCGAAAGATGTGGATTCTAAAATGAAACAGTAAAGCTTTTAAGCTTCTAAATGTTATTTTTTATACATATTTTTCATTTCTTGTTTGAATTTCGTGTATATACCATGTCTACTATTTTTGGAATCAACCAAGAAATGTTCTTACTTGACATTGTTCTTCTGCTTTCCCTGGTCTCTGGATAGTCTGTATTTTCTGAATTTCAGAGCCTGCATTTTCTCATAAAATTTGTGAAACCTGCATCTCTGTTGATTCATGCAATGTTTCTGCATATTCGAAATATGATCACAATTCTATAGAACTTGGGCTTGTAGGGCTACTTAATAGGCAATATCAAGGACACTGTGATCGGTTTTGGACTGTTCTGCTCTTCTGTTGTTCCCCTTTTTTATTTTGTTTCTTTTCTTACCTCCTTGATCACATTCTTTTACTGGTACTGACATTAGTTCTTCTACTATCATTTTCTTCTGGATTTTTGGTTATTGTAGACTCTCTGCTGATCTGCCTAAACCAGAGAAGGTCTTAGTCGTTGAAAGGGTTATTGAATCTTTGGGTCTGCAGGCAGTGCGGGATTCCCTGGTTGGAACGGTGGAGAAGCGAGGAATCTCTGGAGGTCAAAGAAAGCGAGTAAATGTTGGGCTGGAAATGGTCATGGAACCATCACTTCTAATTTTAGATGAACCCACATCTGGTTTGGATAGTTCGTCTTCTATTTTATTACTGAAAGCTCTTCGACGTGAGGCTCTTGAAGGAGTTAACATTTGCATGGTTGTCCACCAACCTAGGTAATTTAACTTGTCGTAAGTACAAGAATGCACATTTTGAGGTAACTTGTTTATTTTAACATTTGCATGGTTTTTCTTTGTGGGCTTTTAAATCCTTCAGAGCATTCTAAATACTTCAGATAGATATTGAACACAAAGCCTCTCTTTCACATGAAAAATTCACAATGTGTCCCTACATTTTGTATTACACTCAGATAGATATTGATTTGGAAATCATTTTATTAAAATTTGATTTCTTTTCAAGGTTATTTCTTTGGTAGGTAGAAAAGACAATTGGCTAAAGGTTGCGGGACCCGCTTTATTTGTATGCTAGCTTTTGCTTTTATATTAATTTTTTAATCTACAATTTGTGCTCCTAAATGCTTAGGATGTGATTGAATCCTCAGAGAAGGAAAGTGAAAACCCATAACATTTACTACATATCTTTGTAAAACAATGAGCATACATAAAACAAGTCTTGGGAATTGGGGTACCAAACTCTTTGGACCTTTGAAGGAAAAGTAATATTTAAAATTCATTGGAAGTCATTTTTAAGTAGTTCGTTTTCCTAATTGTCTTTTTTGGGTGCTTCAGCTATACCTTGTTCAAGATGTTTGATGATTTGATCCTTCTGGCTAAAGGGGGACTTATGGTGTATCATGGACCAGTGAAGAAAATTGAAGAGTACTTTGGTAGTCTTGGGATTACTGTCCCTGAGCGTGTCAACCCTCCAGACTATTTCATTGATATTTTGGAAGGCATAGTAAAACCAAACACAACCACAGGGGTCACCTATAAGCAACTACCTGTTAGATGGATGCTTCATAATGGGTACCCAGTTCCTATGGATATGCTTCAGAGTGTTGATGGGATGGCTGCATCCGCAGGTGAAAATTCAGCTCATGGAGGAAGTACTCCAAATGCTGGATCCGAGGGACAGTCCTTTGCTGGAGACTTTTGGAAGGATGTCAAGTGTCATGTTGAGGTGAAGAAGGACGCTTTAAAACATAATTTTATAACGTTAAACGACTTATCTGAGCGGACTAGCCCTGGCGTGTTCCAGCAATATAAATATTTCCTTGGAAGGTGGATATTCCATTTTTAGTAATTTTGTTGCCCAAAATATTCCTATTTCTCTAGAGATATTAACCATATGAATATGATGAGTGTCGTACAAATTAGTTGGGTTCTATTATGCAAGGAACATTAAGACCTTGGGGATTGTAACTATAAAGTGGAAAAAGAGCAGGTGGGGATTATGTTTTGCACTGTTGCATATACATATTATGCTAGTAAGGATGGCACTTATCATTTTTTACTTTCCCAGTACACCTGAAAAAGAATCAAGATGCTAAGACGATATTAACATAGTTATCTGTGAAGGCTTAGATGATATTAACATATTAACGCAGTGTGACTGTTACCCCCAGCAGAGTCTATTTTACCCAAAATTTGCAACTGCTAACTTCCTTTAAGATTATAGATTTGAATGTTTCAACTTGATTTGTTGTATTTCTGGATTTAACAGGGCCTGTAAGCAGTGGTTACGAGAAGCTAGAACACAAGCTGTAGATTTTCTGATTTTATTGCTAGCTGGAATCTGCTTAGGAACAATTGCCAAAGTGCGCGATGAAACCTTTGGTGCACTTGGTTATACATACACAGTCATATCAGTTTGTAAGTAAACTACTTTTTGTTTCTTTATTATGCACACTTCCTTAAACTGTCATTGTACTTTATGGTCTCAGATTTTTTCATGATCAACTTGCCTCTATTAGAAGTTATGTACTTTATGGTCTCAGATTTTTTCAATCAGCTTGCCTCTATTAGAAGTTACTGGACCATGCCATTTACATGTATGTAGTTTGTTGAGTAAAAATTAACTTTTGACTAAAATAGAGCTACATACCTGAACTGTTTGGGCCTGAAATATAGGTTTGGGCCGAGACAGGATAACCCGAATTGAAAGGTCATGACTCTCGGACAGTAATGATTCCTCTGGCGAGTTGGCTCTCAGCCCAAAAGAGTGCTGATTCGACCGACTCCCTATAAGAGTAGGACTATTAAAGGATCAGGCTGAGGTGTGGCTTGGTCATGTCGTAAGTGAATTAAAATTGCTAAGGATCATGATAGGTTCTGACAAGATTCGAATTGTTGTAAAGATCAGAATGTATGCTTGATCAGATGAGGATGAATCAAGTGCATAAGGGGACTAGGTTCAGAACCCTGGTTCAAGACAAAGAGGCCGAGACTGGATTGAAATTGAGTTCAGCTAAAGAAGGGATTAAGGGATAAAGAGAGAGTATCCTAAGTAAATGCCGAGTAGGCATAGTCCTGTCAGGCTTCTACCTCGGCAGACCTGTTTATCACAAAGTTCACCTTTATAAATAGAAGAGGTTTTGCAATGTGAAAAGCCCCTTCAACTCAACAAACAATTCAAAACGCTCTCATAACCCTGAGAAAAATACTCACTATCCTAACCCTCTGATCAACACATCTTCAGTTTGGTAAGTAAAAACAACACTATGTTGACAACTGGTGACATCTTGAGCTTGGATAAGTAAACAACACTAGGGCCGTAGAATCAAACGATTCAGGAGCATCTTCAGTTTGGACAAGTAAATAACACCGTTTCTTTTTGGTTCGTTATCTATCCAAGTCTTGGCAAGTGAAGAGTTCTTAATTCTTTCGTCCAAAGAGGTCACTTCATTAGCTTCTTAGTGAAGTGAAGTGTTCTATGATCTGTTACTCTTGTGCACTTCATAGTTCAACATTCAGACGGCTGAACCACGTTCACCATAAAGACACTCATTTCCTTTGAGTGTCTTTGTCCCTACAGTTTGAGACCGATTCGGCGCACTTTTTTCTCATGAATATGGTTGAAGCAGCCGAACCTGTTACACAAGATCTTGATAATTAGCAACCTTGTCCTGAGGTTTTAGAACCCTGGGCCAAGAGGTGTTCCTTCCTCGGTCGTAGTTTCTCAAGTGCAGAAATCAGCAGCCACTCCACACCACCATCACATCTATTCTACTTGCCCGACCGAGCTCGGTCACGAGGTGGCACGCTCGCATTCACAAGGACGTAGTTAGCTCAACAGTTACTCGACCTGATTGCCCCATAAGCTTTGCAATTTTTAGGGTCAACAGTATCTCACCATTTTGGCCTCCCATACTCACTGGAAACCTGACTCTCTCTTTGCCAACCTTTTTATGTCTATTTCCCATATTCTTTTCTAATTTTCGTTGTATTAACAAGTGGTGTTATGGTGAGTGCTTTTCAGCCTATGGCTATGGAAGGTGGGGTAGTTGTTAACGACTGATAGGAAAAAAATTACTGGGCTTTTACTAAACAAATGTGTATGAGGGTAAATTTCTATTTACGTTAACTGAAAACTGTTTGAAGGAAGTTAAACTATAGATCTGAATCATCGATCAAGTGGATGATCGTTTGGATGTGTGTTCTCAATTGACAGTCTGCAACATTCTTGTTAGCACTGGATTTCTTGTGAAAAAAACATTACCCTGTAGTTGTTTGCCTGGCGTTATGTATTTTTGGAAATTGACGTGTTTGACACCCACATTCGTGTCCAATCACTACTCATGCTCGTGTCCTGAAATCATAGCTTTTTACCTAGACATATTTGTAGACATCGAAATTTCGGTGAAATGAATGTTAACCAATAATTAAAATTTCAACGCTTACGTGTCACATAAATTTTACATGTAGCGTGTGACTCAACGAAAAATCGAAATAAATTGGAAAGGTCATCAAATAGGACACGTGTCAATATCTGGCAGAAATGATTTATTTCATCTGATTATTTAAATCCAAAAATCAAGTTTTGGAATTCTATAAATAGGAGGCCAAGGCATTCATTTAAGAAGGGAGGAAGGAAAGGAAGAGAAAGAAAGAAAAGAAGAAGAGAAAGAGGAAGAAAGGAAGGAAGGAAGAAAAAAAGAAAGGAAGAAGCCTTGAAACTCTAAAGCTCTCAAGCAAATCCCGAAGGATCAAGAAAGCTCTCTTCGTTCTTCGTCAAATCCTCCTTCAAGATCAAGCCCCAACGGCCCTTGAAGAACTTCCACCAACTCAAGATCAAGCCCCGACGGCCCTTGAGGAAAGTGTTCATCGTTCATCATCCATTCATCCTAAGATCAAGCCCCAACGGCCCTTTGGATCAACAACCTCAACAAATCCACACATACACTCAGTCTTCAAGATTAGGCCCAAAAGCCCTTGAAGATCCGTTCATCCATCAACCTTCAAGATCAAGCCCCAACGCCCCCCTTGAAGAAATCTAGACACCCAGTCTTCAAGATTAGGCCCAAAAGCCCTTGAAGATCCGCTCATCCATCAACAACCTCAACAAATCCACATATCCAATCAGTCTTCAAGATTAGGCCCAAAATCCCTTGAAGATCCGCTCATCCATCAACCTTCAAGATCAAGCCCAAAAGCCCTTGAAGATCCGTTCATCAACTGTTCATCCCTAGATCAAGCCCCGACGGCCCTTTGGATCAACAGCTCATCCACAAACCTACACCCTACGAAGATAGAATCAGAGGATCAAATTACAAAGAGATTGTAACCCCAAAATCATTAAACACAAAAAGATATTTTGTACACGTATTCTTGTCTCTTGTTTCAGGAACTTTTCGTGTTTACAAATTTGGCACGCCCGGTGGGACTATCTCTACCTCTCATCTCTGTCTCCGTTAAAGATATTCAAGCACAGTCCATGGCTTCAAACAAAGAACAAGTCACGACTATCGGCACTACCTCCATTGAAAAACAGCTGGTTCAGATGAAGGAAACAATTGCAAGGCTGATAAAGACTGCAGAGGAAAAAAACTTGCAAACCGCCGGACTCATCAACCGTCTGGAGGCGCAACATGGTGTCATGGTGAAACCAAGCTCTCTTCCAACTAAGAGGACCGAAGAAGGCTTCAACCCAAATGCCTACGAACTCATGTCAAAGGCTAGGCATGACTTTGCTTCCTCTTCAAATCTTGGAAAGAAGGTTTCAAACACCGTCAACGACAAAGATCGCGACCTCACCAAAACTCAAAAGAAGTTGAAGGAGCATGGTTACGGAGTTGACAACAACCAAAGCACACCTCCAAAATCAATGGCATCAAGCAAGGGACAAGCCGTTCTTGCAACCACCAAGGGAAGAAGCATAAGCACTTCCGCCACGAATGGAGCATCCATTGGCACCACAACCACTCATCAACATGCCGCTTCAAAATTGGTACCGCTAAGCGAGCAAAGGGAACATCAAAGGCGCGAGTCTATCATCAACCTAACCTTGCTGGGGGCACCAAAGCATGCTGCTAAGGCGCATAAGATGACATCCCAAAATGGCCAATGGGTTTCTTCATCAGCACCCTGGATGTCTGAAGGAAAGTCATGCCTATTGGTTGCACAAGTCATGACCATCGGCGTCACCTCTGTTGAAGAACAGCTAGCTCAGATGAATGAAGCAATCGCAAAGCTCACACAGACTGTGGAAGAGAAGAACTTGCAGATTGCCGCACTTGTCAACCAACTAGATGCACTGCCCGACGTAAAAGTCGACCCAAATATTAGCCTATTAAAGAAAGAAGGTGACGAAGAAGAGGAGCCACCAGTGGAGAAAGCTGAAGAGAAGCCGAAGCCAGACCAAGCAATGACATCCATGGGATCTCTCTCTATCCAGCAGCTACAGGAGATGATTGCAAGCACTATCAAGACACAGTACGAAGGAAGCTCGCACGACTCCGTACTGTACTCAAAGCCTTACTCCAAGAGGATTGATGCTTTGAAGATGCCGAGGGGTTATCAGCCCCCAAAATTCATGCAGTTCGATGGAAAAGGCAACCCGAAGCAACATGTCGCCCATTTCATTGAAACTTGCAACAATGCTGGGACAGAGGGGGACTACCTTGTCAAACAGTTCGTGCGTTCGCTGAAAAGTAACGCTTTTGACTGGTACACCGACCTCGAACCCGAGTCTATCAACAGTTGGGACCAGCTAGAAAGGGAATTCCTCAACCGTTTCTACAGCACTCGTCGTACTGTAAGCATGCTAGAGCTGACCAGTACGAAACAGTGGAGAGATGAACCTGTCATCGACTACATAAATAGATGGCGTTCATTAAGCCTGGATTGCAAAGATCGGCTTTCTGAAACCTCCGCCATCGAGATGTGCGTTCAAGGCATGCAGTGGGGACTACACTACATCCTTCAAGGCATCAAACCACGAACATTTGAGGAGTTAGCCACCCGCGCCCATGATATGGAGTTAAGCATCACCCGTCATGGGAAGAAAGAACAGATCACCGACTACAAGAATGACAAAGTTTTGGGGCCCAAGGTGGATAAGGCTGCGTGGAAACCCACCAAGGAAGCAATGACGGTCAACACAACTCCAGTCAAAACCCATACACGAGGCAAGGCGATTCAAACCGAAGCTTTTCGTGATCAAGAGATACGTAGACGCACTTTGAAGGAGCTTGAGGAGAAGACTTATCCATTCCCCGACTCTGACGTGGTTGCCATGTTAGATGACTTGCTTGACAAAAAGGTGATCGACCTACCTGAGTGCAAACGGCCGGAAGAGATGAACCGTACTGACAGTCCAAGGTATTGTAAATTCCACCGCTTCATTGGTCATCCGACGGAAAAGTGCTTTGTGCTAAAAGATCTCATCATGAAGTTGGCTCAGAAAGGGATCATCGAGCTAGATCTTAATGATGTGGTGAAATCAAACTACACCTCCGTCACTTCTGGCTCTTTGAACTCAAAATCTTCACCTCAACCGCTGGGGGCATGCTCCAAAACCATGTCAGTCAAGTCAAGTGAAGTTGAAGGATGGACTTATGTCATTCCAAAGAAAATGCACAAGAAACATAGGTCTCCTCCACAAGTTTACCAATCGGAAAGGGGGCAAAGCAGCTACCGTCAACCTTCAAAGCTACATGAAAGTGTTGAGGATGATGAAGTTATGACACAAAGATCGTCCGTTGCCATCACGATGCGCGATTTCTTCCCCAAAGACTTCTTCAATCACTCAGTCGAGACTCCTTGCTATAAAGATTGCAAGGAATGCCTCTCTAAGATCGTTTGACAAATTCAAAAGCTCCTTGTCTGCACGAGTTGAAACTGCAAAAGACACCAAACGCTCCTGGTCTGCACGAGCATAAAAGGCGACATCAAAAGCTCCTTGTCTGCATGAGCTGAAACTGCAAACGGCACCAAACGCTCCTGGCCCGCAAGAGCATAAACTGTGTACGGCAAAATCATCATCAAAATCATCACTCATTTGAACTACGTTATGACTTGATCTCTTCTTTGGAAGAGTACGTAGGCAACTTGAAACTTCAAAACTTCAAGTACAGTCACATCAAAATAAATAAATAAATGTTTCATTAAAGAAAGTCAATTTTATTACAAAAGAAAAGAAAAGAAAAAAATACATATGTATTAGAAAATATATATATATTCTCTACTCAAAAAAAAAAAAAAAAAAAAAAAAAAAAAAAAAAAAAAACAGAAGGAAATATATACAATATATATACAAATCCAGGCCCCCACCAAAATCCAAAGACAGCTTCTCCCCCATAGCCCAAAATCCGCTTAGACCCTCTAGACCTCAAGGCCCGTGACAAAATATCCACCAAATCAAATGGAGTGCACCGCAGCTCAAGGCCTAAAGAATTCGGAGAGAGAGCCTATCCTCGCCGCCTTCACCGAGTTATCCGAATCCCATCTCAATCCATCACCTCCCCAAACTGTGTTCGAAGACTGCAACTCTTCTTCTTCCTCCGCTTCCTGGGCTGCTATCTCCGAGCTCAGAACCCAAGAAGAAATTAGCAGCTTCTATGGAGGTAGTAATGGAGGAGTTCCAACTGATGTGATGGATGAGTTTCAGCTCCAAGAGCAGCTCTCCTTCCTCAACGATGGCTGTCCACCACCAATGCGCCGATACCGGAACAAGTTGCGCCGCCGCCTGACTTTGTCAGATCGGGCCACACAGAACGGGTTATCGGATCGGATCCGGTGGTGAGTCCGATGGAGTTCCAAAGGCAATTGCAGAGGCTACAAATCGGAGAACAAGATCAGCAAGCTATGTTAAAAAAAAAAAAAACAGTTTCTTCAAAAGAAAATGTGTATATATATATATATATATATATAAATTCCACCATCAGACCCAGCAACGGCAGGACAAGAGTCCCAGCCGGACTCCCAGTCCAATCCGCGGCGCCGGCGATGTGCTGCTGCAGTGGGGCCAGAGAAAGAGGTCGAGAGTCTCCAGGACCGAGATCCGAGCTGTCACCGGTGAGTCCTCTTCGTCGGCTCAAGCGAGGCAAGCTTCGAAGCTGCAGAGGAGAGACAAGTCCTTGGTCCGATCGCCTCCGCCAGCACGGCGTCCACTGCGTCCAAGGGGATCTAACCCAGAAAAAAGGATGTGGAAAAAGCTCTGCGGGGAGCAGACTGTGTGTTCCACCTTGCTTCGTATGGCATGTCAGGAAAAGAAACGCTGCAGTTCGGCCATATCTTGGACGCGTGTCTCGAGTTCGGGATTCAAAGGCTGGTTTATGTGAGCACATATAATGTTGTGTTTGGGGGACAGGAGATTGTCAATGGGAACGAGGCCTTGCGCTATTTCCCTATCGACAACCATGCCGATCCATATGGCAGGAGTTCGCCTTGAAAAAGCCAGAAAAGGTATTGAGAGAGCTCATG